GATTTTCATACTAACCTTTGTTATTGCTTGCAATTGTTAGCAGAGGTTTTCTATACTAACCTTTGTTATTGCTTGCAATTGTTAGCAGAGGTTTTCTTTACTAAGTTATGTTATTGCTTACCATCATCAACAGAGGTTTTCTTGACTAACTTGTGTTATTACTTACCACTATCAACAGATGTTTTCTCTACTAACTTGTATTATTGTTTAGGTCTAGAAGTGAGTTGTCACCTACAGTGGGCAGCAGAGAAATGTCTAATAGCATGTAAGGTATTGTTCATTTAGGTGTAAAGGTGAGTAATTTCTTACAAAGGTCAACATAAGAGTAAAGTCCATAAAAATAGTTATTTGTAATACTTGCAGAAGGTACAATATGTAACTAATTCTAAGAAAAGTACAGAGCTTCTTCTGTGCTTAACAGGATTTAGCTTGAGTGGTTGTACTTTTGGGGCTTTCATTATTTCAAGGTGCTTGTAATTCTGTTAGTATTCTTTCTGATTTTACTTGTCAATTATAAAATAAACCTAAAATGTTGTTATATACGAAGTTACCAGTATAAAGAAGAGGAGGGAAGTAAATAGCTGCTGTTAGATACTGTGTGTAGTTTATAACTCCTATATTTTTATCTATTTCATGCTAGTAATTTGTTGGGTAAAATAAACAGTGGCTGCTTTTTTTCTTCCCATGCATTACATTTTAATTTAATTTTTTATTTGTTTCTCGTTTGTTCCACCATTTTATAGGCATTTCACAATGTACTTCTTTGAGAATTAATTTTGTGTGCATAGTTTTGAATTGCATAATCTAATGAACATTAATATGCTCGTGTTATAATATCCACCACCAACTGAAGCAGTAATTGTACCTTAGTAATTATTGGTTTTTGTGGTTGATATTTACATGACATTAGTTTTTTTTTTAGCACACACAGTTTTGAATTTTTTAAACACATTTTCACATTATATATGTCTATAAGATAAGGTGCTATTTTAAGGATGATGAAATGATGGAATTTTTTAACTCTTGGTGCTTATGCTAGGAAAATATCACTGTGAAAATATCAAGTGGTGTTTTAAAACTTTTGCTAAAGAATCAGAAATTTGTTGCATGTTTCTTAAAGGATGTGAATATCTAAATGTAATTATAGTCTGAAGTTAAGTGGTGTATTTTTATTTATGTACATTACTATGGGCATTTCAGGAAAAATGTTAACTTGTATATGATAGCCACTTTTTTCAGATGGATTTAAGCCTGTATACATATAGATATAGACAGATATTTCTACATTCCTTAAGTTTGGGTCATTAATTGCTACTATCTGTTTGAATAGATGTGGCTTAACACATATGTTTGTAGTGATAATACTTTCACTGTTTGTGTTAAACATATTTTAATTTCGAACAGTACATGTATGCATGGTTCTTGTTCATTTATGTGGTAGTTTAAGATCTTTTCATCATTTATTCATTTGGTGATTGCTTTAATTCAGAAGTTAAAAGTTGTCTTCTAGAAACATAAATATCTAATTACCACAGCTTACTTGTGAAACTGATAAACATTATAAGAATGAATTTTAAAAACATAAAACTGATAAAAACCATATAGTTAGTTTGCGTAAAAAAAGTTACCGAGTGATACATGTGTAAAGTAAAACATAATAGAATGTAACAACATAATAAGAACAGTTTTACGTTATTGTTGTGTATACAAGATACTGACTTTTATGTATGAAAATTTTATCACTGGTCAAAATAGTATCTTTTATTGACAATTTATGATATGATGTAACTCATCAAATCTGTGATTGTGTTATAGTTTACTCATACTAAAATATTATTTTAATTCAATATTGAAATTATCTTCCATTTACTCTCGGGTGTTACCTTGCAGGATTTTGCAGACATTGGGCCTCTCAGTGAAACCTTTAAAATCTTAAACAATCCTTATTTTTAACCCTCATCATTTATTTATTTATTTTTTCTTTGCTCAAAGTTGACTAAACTGCATTTTAAAAAACTTGTAAATTGGAAGATAAACTTTTATTTTTTAACAAAAAAAATTGTCTCAAAGTGTTTGATAGTGTAGTCATAATATTACCATAATTATCCAATATAGATTCATGTAAATTTAATGATTTTGCAGCATATTTTATGTGTGGGAATAATTTAGGGTTCATTATCAGGATTACCAGAACTTGCATGGTAAAATCTCTGTCATCATGCTCAAAGTAATGGATTTCTTCATGGAAATTTTACAGTTGGGTGTAGAAATTCTCTTTTATTATTAGTGAAATATAAGTTGTTTATATACATATATTTAAATGTATTTTTGTTTATAAAACTACAACTTGCTCTATAGTTTAGAAAAAGGAACTTAAAAAGTTTTTTTTTATTTTTCAGTGGCCTACTTGGTAGGCTTGAGACATGCTAATAAACTTATTTTCTCCTTATATTTCTGGTTTGTAAATTTTTGGTAATTTAAACAATTTGTGTGTTGATGTTATTAAAGATAGGAAGAGTTTATTAACATACCCATGTAAGTTGAGTGAAGTAGGTGTTATTTTTTTTTTTAAAGTATCCAATGCATGTTCCTACTTGTGTAGTAGGTAATAAAAATTGATATGTTTAATCATTCAAGACGTGAAGTACAACCTCATTTGTCTATAGTGAATTGGGAAGTTTTCTTAGTTGTTGGAGTACTTTACAAAGAAGTAGGAGTACTTTCTGTGTTTAGAAAGTAACATATCCAAGGATAAAACGAGTAAGGGAATGAGATCAATGCTGTCCTGTTGGATATATTATTCTGTGTGTCTGTGTATGGGGAAAGAAACACTGTAATAACATTCTCAGAGTTGTGTATAGATACTCCTTTGGCAGTTTTAAGTAGTAAAAATTAATTATTAATTGGCAGCTGATGTAGGACTATTTTTTATGTCTAAAATTGAGAAACTAGATATTGTAAGTACAAAACAAATATCCTGGTGGAAGCACATACTGTTTAATAGATGAAAGGAAAAAAAATATTAAAATGTAAAGTTATGATAACTCTTTGTAGACATTTGGATGAAAAGCACAGTTTTAAAAGTGCAAAGTGATTTAATAGGAATTTTGAATGGTTACACATGGATGAGTGCGTAAAAGTGTGAATGGTTACAGTGTATGTGTAGATCAAGTAGTGAGTGGGCTTGATTAAAAGATCACCAATAAATGTATTGTGTATTGTACATCTGTGAGGACAGACATCCTTCTTTTGATGTATATGACTAACTTTAATCTATTACAAAAATGACAGTTATACACAAATTCCCAAATAATTCTCCCAAACAGTAAAAAAAACCTTATTGACACAAAATTAGAGAAATGTATAAATGTTATAAATTAAAACAAAAGTTAGCCTGATTAAAAAGACCAACGTAATTTATTAGAAAGTAATTTAGATAACGACAAGTAATTAATATCGTAAATCTTCATTTACTGTGGCGGTACATAGTTTTAAGGTGCCAAAAATCCAACTTAAAATCATACAAGTTAACACATGTCACTTTCTACTAGAAGCTGTTTGTTTCTGTTTATCCAAAATCTTTAAAACAACAATACCTGAACCATGAAAATCAACAGCTGATACTTTTAAATTCCCTTTTAAGTATGATT